GTTACTTTACTAGTTAGTTTACTAGTTAGTTTATTAGTTAGATTAGTAGTTAGTGTATTTGGTAGATAAGTAGTTGGATACACAATAATTTTGGATACAATTTTATTTTTGGATGCACATTCAATTGTTTATATCTTGTACATTGTCTGATCGGGTTGTATTCAAATTTGCGAGTATGTATATATACAAACATTGGGTACCCTGTATAAACAAAGCGTCCATTTAAAAAAAAAATAGACTTTCTACGTCGGTTCATACCATAACCGACGTAGTAAACCCGTACTCGCTTGAGCGACGAGTGTACTCGCTTGAGCGACGACAGCTTCAAACAAAGGGGATTCTCGGGTTCCATCTCGCTTGAGCGAAGAGTGGACTCGCTTAAGCGACAAAAGCTTCAAACAAAGGGGACTCTCGGGTTCCATCTCGCTTGAGCGACGAGTGTAATCGCTTAAGCGACGAAAGCTTCAAACAAAGGGGACTCTCGGGTTCCATCTCGCTTGAGCGACGAGTGTACTCGCTTAAGCGACGAAAGCTTCAAACAATGGGGACTCTCGGGTTCCATCTCGCTTGAGCGACGAGTGTACTCGCTTAAGCGACGAAAGCTTCAAACAAAGGGGTCTCTCGGTTCAATTTCGCTTGAGCGACGAGTGTACTCGCTTGAGCGACGTGTATACACTTTCAACGTCGGGTATGAATAACCGACGTTGAAAGCCAAAACTTTCAACGTCGGGTATAGAGAACCGACATTGAAAGTGTATACTTTCAACGTCGCCTTATACAACGTCGGTTGTATAACAGACGTTGAAAGCCTTATATAACCGACGTTGAAAGACATATCTGTAGCAGTGTTAACATTTGAGGAGTATCCTTGTGGCACTTTGACCTCATGTAAACACTCACAAAAGCTTCTCTTTTCTTTCTTTGATAGAGTATGACAAGCTGGAGGTAAGTAAGTGCGTTTTCTAACTGATTGTGGATGTAATTCATAACGTATACCCATGTCTGCCAAATCTTGTCTTGCTTTTATTCTATCTTTTGTCTTTCCTTTTATGTTAAGCAATGTCCCAATTATACTATCACAAACATTTTTTTCAACATGCATCACATCTATACAGTGTTTAACTTCCAACTTACACCAATAAGGAAGATTGAAGAATATAGACTGTTTCTTCCAAATGTTTTTCTCATTGGATTTCTTTTGGGTCTTTCCAAACACAATATTAATATTTTTCACTTGCTCATATACTTGTTCACCATTGCGTGGTACTGATGCAATTGCATTCTCCTGACATCCATTAAATGCTTTCTTCATTTTACGATATGGATGATTAGCAACTAGAAACTTTCTATGCCTATTGTACGCAGTTTTTTGTCTATGTTTCAATTGGATATAACTTGTGTCTTCTTGACATAAAGGACACGTTAAATGACCTTTCACACTATAACCAGCTCAAATTACCATATGCTTGGAAAATCATTTATAGTACAAAATAACATTGCACGCAACCTGAAATTCACTTCGTGATATGAATCAAATACATTCACTCCTGTTTCCCACAACATCTTCAAATCATCAATTAAAGGACTAAGATATACATCTATGTCATTTCCTGGTTGTCGAGGTCTCGAAATCATCATAGATAACATCATATATTTTCTCTTCATGCATAACCAAGGAGGCAAATTGTAAATGATCAACATAACTGGCCATGAACTATGTTTACTACTTAAATTTCCATAAGGATTCATCCCATCTGTAGCTAATCCAATTCTCAAGTTTCTTGGCTCTGCACCAAATTCTGGAAAGGTTTCATCAATCCTTTTCCATTGTGGAGAATCAGCTGGATGTCGAAGAAGATTGTCACATTTTCTACCATTTGCATGCCATGTCAAGTTTCTTGCATCTTCTTTTATGGCAAATAATCTTTTAAACCTAGGTATAATTGGCAAATACCATAACACCTTAGCAGGGGGACCATCTAGTTCTTCCTCACCACTACTTTCCTCAACTTTGTTTTTGAACCTCGACAAACCACATGTCGGACACATCTTTAATTTAGCAAAATCATTTCTGTACAATATACAATCATTAGGACATGCATGTATTTTCTTGTACTCTAAACCCATTGGACATAATATCTTCTTTGCCTCATAGTTACGAATAGGTAATGTATTATCTTCAGGAAGCATCTCCTTCAACAACTCCAATAATTCGGTGAAACTTTTATCAGTCCATCCATTTCTTGCTTTTAAAGTAAACAATTTTAAAGTTGCTGATAATCTTGTAAAACTACATCCTATGTACAATTGTTGCGCAAAATCAGATTTTAAAGAATCATATAGATGTGCTTTCATAAAATTTTCTTCACCAATATCACATATCATATCCTCTAGATTATCATCCATCCCTTCATCAAAATTGTCTGTAATTGACATAGTTGGGATGTCTAATATTTCTCCATGCCATGTCCATATTGTATAACTCTTAATAATACCATAAACAAACAAGTGATCACGTATATCCTCAAGTTTATGACGAATTTGATTCAAACAACGAACACATGGACAATAATATGTCCCTTTCATAGCTTTTCCATTTTCACTAGCAAATTTCAAAAATTCCTCAACTCCCTTTTCGTACTCTTCACTAATACGACGTGCATTCATCCAACTTCGATTCATATTATGTTATAAAGTTTCGTCACTCCTAGAGATTTAAAAATTATATGTAAAAAGAAATTAATATACAAACAACAAAGCACGTTCCAATAACAATGGAGTGTATAAACCGAATGCACTCAAACAAATAAACAAATAATTACATTCCAATAACAATCCAGTGGAGACATTCATACTATAACGTGATTGAGATCCCCAAAAACAATCACGGATTCAATGTAAACATATAGCAATGACATAGAACACTAACCTCAAGTGTAGACGAAAAATGATTTCAAACTCGAATCCAATCGGGGAGAAATATCAAGTTCGTCAAATGACACACAATGTAGATGTTTTTCACTGTAAAACTGATTGAAAATGGTGTGCAGAGGTAGCTGTTGTCGTCGTTCTCAAAAACCCTGGTTGCGCGAGACGAGGGAGTGTGCCAGGGAGGGAATAAAAGAGACTTTTTACGTTGCGTGTTGGGGTGTGCGACGTAAAAGTTTTGTCCCTTATTTACAAAATTGCCACCGCGTTTTATTTACGTCGAATATTTTTACATGCGACGACAATTGGGTGACGTAAAAACCTTTTTCTGCACTAGTGAATCACACTATCTTTTATTTTATTATTGTATGTAGTTAGATTAAGAACACATTAGATTAAAGATGATAAATACAAAATTAATTATGACTATTTTAGAGATGTGGTAGGTTTTAAATAATTTATTATATCACTAAATATAATTTGGTTTATGTTAAACATTTTTGCAAGTGTCATATACTTTATTTTTATTGATTGTTTTGATTTTTTTTAATAAAATATGAGAAATCTAACAATCAAAAATATTTTTTATAGATCAAGATAAAATCATGACTAAAACAAAGAGAGATAATATCAAATATGTGTCATCTATTATATTTGTGGTATATAACTAGAATGTTAATTTTTATTTAGTGCTATGAACTCTATCCATAACTTTCAATAATTGTATTAAAAGTTTTTTTTTTTACTTAAAAAAAAAAACATGTCTGAATGGAATGATATGATAAGCTAACATCAAACTCACAATCATTAATGGTTAAATAAAATGTATAAAATTCGTTACAAAGAGGACAGTATATGTCTTAATAATATTTTTTTAGTTGATATCCAATTCTACTAATAATAATAATAACACAAAACTTCATGAAATTTTTGAGATATGATAAAAATAAGTGGCATTAATTAGAGAATAATTTAAAAAAAATAATGTATGTCTCCACCAATTATAAATATTAGTAAAATTCTATGAAATGCAGAAATACTTATAAGAGTTTTAATTTTTTAAACAATATCGTGATGAGATAAGTGGAACCAGTTTTATAAACTAGTGAATGTAATTATATAATACGAAGTTATTTTGAAACATATATTTCATAAGAAAATTTTGATATTCTTCCATACAAATATTAATTGCACATGGCACAAGTTTGATTTTATATATAAAAAAAAACCTTTATAACTATGCTTTGTGAATGTATAAAATTACATAAATGAAGACTCAAATAATATTTTTAGCTAAAACGACCATGCTGTTTTTTCCCCTTCTTCTATTGTAATGACATTATAAAGTTATTATACACTTCTAACAATGTAGAACATAACTTGGTGTAAAAGTAGGTCAGTATGAATAAACTAAAGTTGAATTTAATTAGTGGAATTTGATTGAATGTGTTTTTATTTCGTTGTGTAAACAATTAATCAATTGTCATTTCTGAAAGTTTGCTTCAACCTAAGAAAGGTAAGAAAGATAAAATTATGTTAAAAAAGTAATAATTTTACAATTTTAAATATAAACTAATGAGTTGAATTAATGGAATTCTACAAACAAAAACTTTAAAAAGTAATGTTATTTTTCATGGAACTCTTTAATTTTTGTTGTTATTAAAAACTTAAAAAAAAAGTGGTTTCGTGTTTTTTTAAGTACAAGTTTCAGTTAAAAACATTAAAACTTATAAAATTTATTTTTTTGAAAAATCCATATTTATCTCCCTTAAAAGAACAATAGTGAAATTTATTTATATTTAATATAACTATTTTACCTCACAATCAAATAAACTTTGCAATACTAATGCTCTCTAAGAAAATGGGGCACAATAAAAAAACATGAGATGCATAAAGCGAATGCCTCAGTTTTTAGGGAGTTAATCGCAAGCCCAAGGGCTATGGTTGACCCGGCCCTTTTAAAGATATGGGTAGACTACTATCTGTTAATCAGGGTCATCACTTCTTTTCTTGCATCCACAGTTTCATTAGTTTTTTCGGAGTCCCTTCTTCTTTCGTTACATTGAACGTAGCTATAGCAGCGGGACCTCTTTGCTTCAACCTCAACCCTTTCACGACATCTAAAACCCTCACTCGCCAGGTTTGTCTCATTTCATAATATCTTTATTTCGAGATCTATTGCAGCGTCGTGATTGTTCTTCCAGGTAGCCTTCAATTCTATTTTCTCTCGTTTGCTCATTGATTGTATGAACGATTTGAACTATTAAAGATCGATGGGCAAGGAGAGCCAAGTGTCCGCTATGGAAATCGACGCTCCGAAACCGACTAATTCCGATCAGATAGTTCCCAAATTCTCCATCAACGGTTTGTCTTTTCCTTCGCTGTCCAATGCTGTTCCACTCATATGTGCTTACGATGTTCTTTTTACCAAAGAAAATAGAGATTTCATTAGTGGAACTTTGATGATTGGTTTAATTGATATCTTTGTTTTAAAATTTAACCAGTGCTGCAGCTTTTGAAATCGGCGCAAATGCAGCATGGCTTGCGCCATGGAGATTACACTCGCTATAGGTATGTACTTGTGTAGCTTATACCACGATGCCAATCAAATACCATTTTATTTTATTTAATTTCTGTTTAGGTGTGTTTTTTAAATCTGTATCAATGGTTTTAAGTTGATGGGGGAGTTTCGTTGCAATTTAACATTGCATCTAAACGCGGTCAATGCGGCTGCAATTACTGTCACAGTAAGTCAAAAGACCTTGACTCTGGCCGAAAAGGTGGTTGCGGATACCTTTCAAAACCTTGTTTATATCCCTAAGAATGAATCATTTAGGAGACACAACGTTATGGGACGTTTCAGCTTTGCTTTTATTCTGACTGTTGTGTATAACGTGTTTCCTTTATATTTTTTGCTCATTGGTGCTGAAGACCTCGAGTCTTCTAGCATTGTGGACTTACCATTCAGTTACATGATCGACCTTATGGAAACCACCGATTGAAGCTGCTGCTTTAGCTAACATGTTGAAGTATGCATAGATTGGTAATAGATGTACGTTTTTGCTCTACATCGTAGGAGGTATTGCACAGCTCGTTTGAGGAGGTTATATAAATCATTGAAGTTTACCCATGGTCGGGGCAAATATTCCAAAAGGGCCATAACTGAATCTACTGTCTCTGAAGTAAGGTATGCTTTGCTAATGGTATTTTTTTTTTTTTTTTGACAAGGGTTTTGGTGCCCTTTTGTTGTTGACTTAGTTTGAAATTGTTGTGGAAGACAAGAATATTAAAAAGGCTTTAATGGATGTCAGTTGTTAGGCTTTACTATCTTCATTGCTATCAATATTTCCGAGGTTGTTGCACTCTAGAACTGCTTAGATATATCTGTTATCATTTCTATTGCTAATATTATGTGCACGTTGTTACCTGAACCTCAAAGAATCTGTGACAGGAATTGAATTTATTATAAAAATTGACATGGAAACACCCACGCAACCCTAGTAATTGCCAAACCACCCTCGTCCCCTCCCTTCCCTTCCCATTCACTCCCTGTGCCATTAACTCTAGCATCTACTATTCCCTTTCCATGCAGCCGTATGAGATGTTGATTAGGATATAGTTTAACAGAAAATTCTCCACTATATTCCCTGTCACTTCACTTCCCATCCCACCCCTGTTCCCCATTTTCCTATGTGATCGGCCCCCATGTGTGGGTCCTTCACAAATACCTAAATACTTATACGAAACCATCATTTAGACATTGTTTTGCATTTATTCCTCTTGTTTTTCTTAGAATGTTTTTCAATAATTTGGTGTTAAAAATAGCTAAATATATGGACCCAAACCCATCTTTTTTTGTATCATATGATCTCTCTCTCTCTCTCTCTCTCTCTCTTTTTTATATATATATATATATATATATATATATATATATATATTTGTTCTTCTAATATGCGTAACACACACAGGGGTTTTATTCATACATCTCTTTACCATTTACTTCAACAATTGGAAAAAGGAAAATAAATACATCTGTATGGAAATTATTTTAATTGGACATTTAGTCTAACATTGGAAGTGTTATGGTTTCAAATCAGGTTTCTTCATCTAATTCTGTATACAGCAGAGAGAGCTTGGAGTCATGCTATGGAGAAAAGGCAGCTTCCAAATGGTCCAAATGCACGTCAACGTATATATTTGATTGGCAGGTTGCGGAAAGCAGTAAAATGGGCTACATTGTTTTCACAATTGTGTGCGGTCAAGGCCGATTCTAGAACATCTTTGGAAGCTGAGGTGTGTCTTTTCTCTCGCCATCTGGCTATGATTAGTTTACTGCAGTGTTTTGTTCTGACCTCTTCCTGGTACAGTTTTTTAAAAATTCACTACTTTAGAGGTGATCAACAAGCTAGCATTTCAAATATCTATATTTCCTTTTTTCATGGATTTTTTATTTATTTATATTTTATTTTAAATTTTAACTGTTTGGTTTATTCTTAATAGGTAGTGAATCTAAAGGATTTAAGATATAAACACATGTGAATAAAGAAAGCCAAAATAATTTTTTTCAGTTTTTGAACATGGATAAGCTCAATTCATTTCATCTATCAATTACATTTATGTTTCAATGTTATCTTTAAAATAGAGTTTAGCTTCTTTTCTACATTTAAACACTTAGTTTTCTTTCCCTAAAACCAATTAAACTTACATTAAGGTATATGTTTGGAATTATCCTAAATAATATGCAATAAGCAATGTTTTAAACAAAAAACAGTTGAGCGCAAGGTGTTGTTATAATGAATAACTCAAGTAATGATAAAACGTATTGTATAATTTGGAATAGATAAGAAATTTGATATTATAGGTTTTACATGGATAACATTGTTTCAAATTGGGAACGCCTGCCACTTTTTTATAGGGAGCAACACAATTATGCTAATTTGGAAGTTTCAGGATAGTTTAAAACTAAAAGAAGTATATTGGGAATAATATTGAAAGCTACAGTAATTTTCAGGACATAAAATATTTATCCATTAAGATATCTGCACTATAATGGTTAGTTCCAATTTGATATGCTAGTACTATTCTGTTATTGTTTACTATTTATTAATCATTTTTTATTTTCTTTTTGGTGACTTATGCTTTTTAAAATGTAAACAGTATGGAGGTTTTAGCATTTTGTTTTTATTCTATGGTGGATAACTATTTATCTTTTGTTGATGAAAACTGAACATTATTTCTCTTTTGTTCACTGAATTTTAGGCTTATGAATCCTACATGAAAGGGAGTTTGTTGTTTGAGCAAGATCAAAATTGGGATGTGGCTTTAAAGAACTTCAAAAGTGCTAGGTACGTTGGTTTTGCTTCCATGATTTATACATATTGCATAGAAAAGAAGATGAAAATAGATGCTCTTTTTGGTGAACATGATAAAAAGATGGAGCAAGTTTATATTTACTGGTATGAGGTAATTTTGTGAATGATTTGATAATATATGTTTTCTTACAGCAAACACCTTTTTAGTTTGTGACAGTGTGATCTAGTACACTGCCTTTTGGGATGCTTCTGTTTTTCTTTCTCACCCTGCTTAAGTTTTTAACCATCTCCTTATTTAATAGGGCTGTATATGAGGAATTAGGGAAATATGGAGATTTGGATAACCAAGTTTTGTGTCGTGAGCGAGTTGAGGAGCTCGAACCTAGTATCCGATACTGCCTTCACAAAATTGGCCAGTCAAATCTACAGGCCTCTGAACTTTTACAAATTGGTGATGTGGAAGGTCCTGCATTAGACCTTTTTAAAGCTAAACTAGAGGTTGGTATAAAATTCTTTTGTATATTTAAGTGGGAAAACAGAGAACAAGAAAATATAATATGCAAATCAGTAGCATTCATCTATTTCCCACGAGGAAATGTTGCATTGAGACAAGATAGACTTTTCATTTTTTGTTTGTTCAATGGAGGGGAACGATCATATACACATTTGCCGATCTTTTAAGTGTTGATAAACTATCTCTCAGATAATCTACCTTCCCACTCAATTTTGTTTCTCCACTGCTAGTGTGATTTGGAGAGTAGAGAATGTGATTATACTTTTTGAACCGTGTGGACAAAATTGCTCTGTGATTTTATTTTACCCCTCATCTCCATTATTATTTATGACAGTATAACCATATATTTTCCCTTCGCTCCCCTTCGAACCAAACAAGGTTTATCTTCCCTTTCTTGAGAACCAAATCAAACAAGGGGACCGATCCTTCCCCCTTTAAAATCTCTCCATCCTCCTTCCCACCAACCAACTTAAATGTATAATGTGTATCCACTTTTTGCTATTATTTTAAAGTACAATGTTTTATGATCATCTAATTCTATTACTCGAATCAAGTAGGCTGCTTTTTTGAATTCATTCATGTATTTCCTACAGAAGTACTGAATTGAATATTGTTTGTTTCAGGCTGTCATGGCTGAGGCAAGATCTCAACAAGCTGCTTCCATGACAGAATTCCTTTGGCTTGGCCACAGATTTCCTATATCAAATGCTAAAACAAGGGTTGCCATCCTGAAAGGTTGGTTGCTTTCTTCCTGTACAAATTAATTGATTAGTAAGTTGGAAATGGAGTGATCAGTTGATTATACTTAACAATCTTTTCATACCTCAACCTCATCTTTGTCCTATCTCTTTTTCCACTCTGTAAAATGACATTACTACCCTGCGTGAGATTCCTTTCTTTTTGTTGTGTTTTCTTGCATGTGAAGTGATACAATTAATTAATTGCACTTGCCTACACTAGATGGTCTTTACTGTGATGAGTTAGAAGCTGTACTTTTTCCAATGTATCCCAGCTATGGTAATTTATTTGGGAACTAAAATTGAATTTGTTGCAATCCTTTTTTCTGAGGCTTCATTTTACATTTCAAAAATTTTATTTGCATGTAAAATGCATTCTTTTCTATAATTGTGATTCATGTATGCAACGTTTCTTTGTATTTTTGTTTTTTTAAATGTAACTGATTGTTTGATTTAAAATTTGGTATTTTTTTCTTATAGATCTATGCATATATCAAGTAATGGTTCTACCTGTATATTTTTTTTAGCTTTATGCCCATATCAAGTAATGTTTCTATCTGATTTTTCTCAGCTCAGGAGCTGGAGAAAGATATACATGGTCCACTGGCAGACTCAATTCAAGCAGATAAAAGACTAGTTATTTTTGACAAAATCTTTTCTGCATATCATGAAGCCCGAGGTTTTATTCGGACTGATTTGGTATAGGAAATTACTTGCTGTTAATTGAGTGTTATCATCAAATTTTTTACTCGTTGGTATTAAATTTCTTTCGATTTAGGCCACTACAGGAAGTGCAGAAAGTGTGAAAGATGATTTGAATGGTCTTGATAAGGCTGTCAGTGCTGTCCTAGGAGAAAGAACCATTGAACGTAACCTCTTGTTGGTTAAGGTTGCAAAAAGCAAACTTGGAAAGCGGCATGATGATAAAAATGAAAAAGTTACCAAACCTGAAGAACTTGTTCGCTTATATGATCTCTTGCTTCAGGTTGATATCCATTTTTTGTTATGAACATGCATGAATTGAACAATTATTTCTTTGCATAAGGACTTCCAGGCTGCTGCATCTTTATTTGTTATGTTCCTCAATTTGAATGACAATGCTAATATCAATCAACGTTTGGCAGAATACATCTGATCTATCTGATTTAGTCAGTTCTGGAAGGGATAAGAAACCAGAAGAAGTTAGCTTTGCTGAAGGGTGTTCATGCAAAAGTCTGGCTTTTCGAGCTCAAAGGTTCTCTTCTTGGGGAAATTGTTTTCTTACTGCTATAAAATTCGTTAATATCTTACTAAATGCTCACATGGGCACACACACTACTTACTGGATTTTGCAAAAGAGAACATACTAGTTCCTCTTCACCCAAAGATCCTTGCTGTTCATCCCTTTTAAATTTGGGCTGGGCCCAAATCCAAAAACTATCTCATAAAGTGAGGATTGTTTTATATGGTCTATTTTGATAATTTCTTTAGTTTATCTATCTGGGACCTTTACACGCCCAGCTCATGCCCAGGACAGAACATTGCAAGTCTCATTTTTGTTAAGTCCAACGTTAAGACTTGATACACTCTTATGTGGGCCCCAGTGAATGATTAGTTTGCTGCCACTACAGTCAAATCTGCATCTAGTTTAGATGATATTTGTTTCACAACTACAAGGTATATGTATTGATATGTGGTCACAACTAACATGCAGGTGCTTTTATGTTGCAAAGTCATACAGTGTGGCTGGGATGAGGGCTGAAGCATATGCATTGTACTGTCGCGCTCGCAATTTGGCAGATGATGCCTTAAAAAAGTTTCAAATGTTAGATAGTGATAATAAGGTAATTTTAATCATTTGTTTTTCAGGATCAGATTGGTGGACTTGAACACCTCACTGATCAATGATAGCATTATTGTATCCACTGCAATAATTTTTCAAAGGGCAACTTTGATTTAATTGGGTGCTAGGTTTTCCTTGTCTCATTTCATTATAACTTTCATAACTTTTAAACACTTGGTAGATGAAATCAATGTAATCAACGGGAAAGAATTGATCAAGTAAAGATAGGGATCTTGCATAATTATCTCTGACTTTGACCAGGTATAGATTTAAAGATTGTAATCTGTCGTGCTTGTGGCTTGCTTAGACAGATCACAGTCCCATAAAGACTAATCTTTGGATTAATTCCTTTCAGTTAACAAGAATTGAAAAGATAAACAAAATAAGTCTTTTTATTGAATAGAGAGAACTAGAAATAGGAGAGCATTCTCTCTTCCAAGGGTTTCCCTTCATCAAGGATTTCTCCTTTCACAAAAAGTCATTGCTCAATTTACAATAACAACACATCTCCCTTTGTCCCATCCTTCTTTCCCTATTTATTACCCTCTAACTAACTAACCCATTAATATTTTAATTATAATTACTCCTTGCTCCTTCCACCCACTTCCGGATCTTGTCAGTGTTTTCATTCTATGTCAATCCTTCACTTTGTTTCTTTTAATGTAATATCTCCTAAATTTTGAGCATGCTTTGTATGTTGAAATTTATGACAGGAACATAATGGGTTCAGTTAAAGATAGATGCTACAGTTTTTAGATTCATTTTTTAGAATTTGGATTCTCTAAAGTGAAAACACACATATATTTGATTGAAAAGTGTAGTCTTATACTTGATTGAAAGATCACTGTTAAGGTTGTAACAAAACACATATGTTCATATAACAGATTATGACTATTTTTTAAGGTTATTACGAAGTTATTAACATCCACTTTGTTAATTTTCCAATCGGCAGTCGCTACCTTTTGCTCTACATTACACCCTTCACTTTGAAGAGTCCAAATCTTATTTTAACATTCATACCAATACTTGTCAAGCCTCACATTTGGTTTGATTAGCTGTGTGTATTTTCTTTATTTTTTCATTGTTTGTTCGGTTTCACAGACTATGATTAAAGAGTTGGAGGACTTGTGCCACGAGTGCCGATCTAACAGTTGTATTGAGCATGCGTTGGGGATCATGGAGGAAAAGAAGACTCAAGAGAATTTATCTGAAAAGGTCTCCAATATATCATTGACCGGAACTGAGCGGGTACATATGTTTCTACTTATACAATAATCCCTTTTGTTTTTTATCCGCTCATGCATTATCATATGGGAATGTTTTGACTCTATTGCATTTATAATATCTCAAGAGTTAATAGTATTTGCACGAGCATTTATTGATATATTCTGACATGTATCTCTTTTACAGTTGGAGAAAGTCCTTCTTGAGAAACTCGAAGTTTACGAGTCTGCTGTGGGTGATTCAAATGTGAAGTGTACACCACGCATTACAGGCTTCCCCCCATCGTTCCAGGCAATATCCCGTAATCCTATTGTGCTGGATCTGGCTTATAACGTCATTGAATTCCCACATATTGAAAATAGGATGAAGAAGGATAGAAAAGCCAAGAGCGGGTTTATGAGTAGAATATTTGGATGAGTGTATTTGATTAGGTTTTGGTTCTTTAAACTGAGTAACTGTTGACAACTGATTTGGTGGTTTCGTTTGTTGAATATTGTGAATTTTGAGATGTCATGTACAAATCTTGGGAGGTCTTAATATTTTGAAGTGGAGACTATGACCCAAATTTGTTGGGAAATATTTAAACCTAATATTTACTAACATTTTTTGAGAAATGCAAACATTGGATATCGTATGTTTAACTGTTGTTGAGGGGGCGATACAGCACAAGGTCAATGAATATGTCCCTTTTCAACCAAGCTAGAAAATGGTAAGAAAAAATGAGTTTTCTTTATTTCATTGTAGACATGCAATTCATGTTCAGGGTGAATGATGTAGCTACATATTAAAAAGCTTACATGTGGAACAAGTAGTAATCTGCCTCGCATAGCCTTCCTCAAATCAACTTTAATATATATATTATTTTTAAAGTTGCATCTTAAGTGTATATGCCTCTCATAGATATTGGCAAATTATGCATTTGTACTCATGGAACTTTGGTGGGATTGGGGACCTCTGAATTTGACGAAGAATATGGAGTGCTGTCATATTTAGTGTTTGGAAGACAATAAGTAACTGTTTTTTAACAAGGATATTTTTAAATGGAAAGCTATTATGGATGATATTAAGTTCTGATGCGGATAAAAGAAAATAAATATATATATATATATATATATATATATATAAATATATATATTAAGTTCTGATTTTGGATCTAGTTATGCAAACAACACCAATAGTTGAAGTTTTCAGTTGAGGAAATTTCTAATCTACCATGTTTAGAAGCTGCAACGTGATCTATGATTAGGGATGATAATTAAACCCTTGAAGGTCGACTCGCTCCCGTCTCGAGTTTGACGGAAAAATTCGAGTTGACCGAGGGTGGGGACGGGTTTGGGTTTTCCTCGCTTTAAAAAATTGGGGTGGGGCGGGGATGGGGTAATGCAATCCCCACGCCGACCTCGTTCCCGTCTCGACTTTATATTTAAATTTAAAATTTAAAATATTAATACGTTAAATGTTTTCTTTTTCTTTTTCTATTACATATAAGGTTATTTTTTTAATATTTCACCAATTTTTATTTTTCTTTTACCCAATTTTAATTTTTTTGTCTTTTTTAATCTTTTATATCAATTAATTTATTACATTATTCTCTCTCTTATTTTTTTTTTTACATTTCCTTAATTTGTCCCATCAATTTATTTATTTTTTTAATCTTTTCAATAAATTTAATAAACACAAAGTAAATTTTTTTCTTTATCTTTTTCTCAATATTTTACATAAATCCTAGTAGTAACTAATATTATTTTATTTATAATTTATATTTATTAGGTTTTATTATGTCATATTTCTTTATCTTATTGTTCTTATTTATCATATATCAAATTTTATCTTAATAAAATAATTGTATTTTAAAGGATTAAAAGAAATTAATAATTTAAACTTTTATTACTTCGAACTAATTAAATAAAAATTAACTTATTAAATATTTTCTTATAAACTATATATTTCATATTTTTAATATTTTTAAATGATAACTTAAAAATGAATTAACTTATATATATAATTAAATGTTTGAATACAATATTATAATAATAATGTTATAAATATTCAAATATTTGAATAATAATATACTTAATTTTTAAGTGATCCACTTAAAAAAGTCGGGCAGTAATCAGGGAGCCCAAACCGCCCCAGGCCCTATGCCTTTTCATCATATATTATATAACATTGGTATATTTTCTCTTTGTAACTTAGGTACTGCTGGTACCATTCGTTTTTGCATATAATATAATATATCTTTTGTTTTACGAAAGAAAAAACTTTTATAGAAATTAATTTAGTTTATAATAATATATATATATATATATTATTTTTTTTTTAACTCCGTTGGAGAATACGATGGCTCTACGAATTTCACGTGTAGCATTGTAGGAAAGAAGCTATTATGAAAGTAGAAAGCAACCCATTTTTAATGCACCAGTAGGCGGAGCGGAGCAAAGCGATAAAATGATAGATGCATGCATGCGCACTCACCACCTTTACCATGATCGAGAGTGAGACGTGTCTCCTATGCCTCGGGACAGGTCATAGCGCACCGTCGTTTGTATCACTCCAATACAAAAAAAAACGACACGTCGGTTTTCACCACTATTTATACAGGAAAACAAAAATAAGGGCGGGTGAAATTTTGAGTGAACGATTGACATGAAATATCGCAAAGCAAACACTCTGAACCGTCTTCCTTCCTTCTTCTCTCTTTCCCTCCAAACTCGCTCCAATATTAATATAAATATTATTCATTTATTTTCTTTCACTTCCCTTTCTCTCTCTTTTCTTTTTCTTTCTTACTTTGGAACCAACCGTTACAGCGATCCCTTTCTCTGCCAAATAGAAGAGGACGAAGACGAAGAACAATATTTCTTAAAAAATGCGTTTCGCAAATCTAGATGACACTCCGATGTTCCGCCAACAGGTTCTCCTCTCCTCTCATTCTTCCGTTTATTTGTTTTGTAGTTTTCCGTGGCGTCCTCGTTCGATTTATCAATTGAACGATAGAGTTCGAACGGTGCCGTTTATTACGCATTCTTCATCTCGCGATTTATATTATCTGTCTGTTTTTGTTTAAACTAATGAAGACGTGTCGTGTTGATTGTTGAAAGTCTTGGGAACGTGTTTTGTGCTTGGTAGAGTAAAAATAGGGTGGTGAAATGGTAATTCGTGTGAGTGGTTGTGGATGCAGATCCAGTGTTTGGAGGAAATTGCAGAATCGTTGCGCGCAAGATGCTGCAAGTTCTATAAGGGATGTCGAAAGTATACGTGAGTTTTCTTCGCATTCATTTCGTTGTTAATTTGAATTTAGACGTTTCATATAATGTTTGGATAAACTTTTCAATTACTTGTAGGAAAATTCGATAAGGTAAATGAATTTAACTTCTTTCATTAGCTAAAATTAGCCAATGAATTTAATCAATTTATGTACTTAAAATTTATAAAAGCTTGTGTTTCGTAACTTCTTTAAAATTAAGGTCCGTACATTGATTTTAGTTTAGAGGTGAAGTTCAATACATTTTATTTTCGTATAGGGATTGCTTTCTTTAAAAGGGAAGAAGGAAGGAGAAGGATTTTAATAGAGGGAAGCGAAGGAGAGAAATTTGAATGGAACGGAGACAGGGAATGAAAGGGGAGGTAGAAGAGAGATTTTAAGTATGCATTATGTTTGGTTGAAAGCCAGGGAGAAAAAGTATTTTAATGGAGATTGGTAACCATTTATAATTTTCAATTTCAAAGCATAGATAAGAATATTTTAGTTATTATAGTTAAAATGCTTTTACTCATCTTCCTCTCTTTTCAAAGGATCACTTACTTCCCTTTTTCACTGAAGGCCCTTAACCTTAAGTGCTCCAAGCCACTAAACAGTTTAAAATAAGGGTCATAATATTTTCACAACCTTAACAAAAAAACAACTCAAAAAACAACCCCTTTTATTAATATAATAATCATGAAAGAGATTAAATAAAAATGAAAACAAGTTAAAATTATTATTTTTAACTTATAATATTGGGTTGTTTGTTAAAGTTGTATAAAATTGGGTTTTCAAATTATTTTTCTTAAAATAATTTAGGGAACGGGTATGGATGTTCAAATTCTGACATCTTTTGATCTTTTATTTAATACTGGCCGTTATTTAAACGACACTAGGTCTTGTGTCTTGGGTTAGGTTGATGTCGTGATAAGTATGACGCTAAACAAGTAAATGTGCCGAGAGCGAAATATTACCTCATATTGAGATTCTTACATCATCGTTTCATTCCTAAAGTTTTTAAACAACCAAGTAGCCACAAACTCTATCTTGTACTAATTACTTCATGGTTTGACCAAAATATTTTAAAGCAAATGTAAAATGTTTTTAAGCTTAACATATCTTTGGAACGTTTTTAAGTTTTTGATGTTCGGGTAAAAATATTCTTGAACAGAGTGAACGCACAAGGTCTTGAGTTCACTAGTTGTATCAGAAAATAGAGCCGGAACTGGGAGAAAGAAAGTTAATGCCTAATGGTTCTTGCTTTGTGTGAACTGTGAGATTCTTTAAAAATAAGTTTTCTTTTGTAGGATATACCTACATTTATCGCAACCATAACAATTTGTTTCATGATACTTGATCTAATAAAAGAATAATTTTGACAACTATGGCTGGTTATATAGCCACAGTTCTAGCATTCTAAAAACTTCTTATTGCCTTGTTATTCTTAACACTTTTTAGTGAAGGTCTTGGAGAGGCATATGATGGGGACATCGCATTTGCAAGTGCCATAGAAAACTTTGGAGGAGGGCAAAATGATCCTCATTTTGTTACTTTGGGAGGTAAGCCTTGTTGGTCTTTCCCTCCCACTTGCCTTGTCTAGAACCAAATGAATATTAGGGAGTGTAACAAGTCATATCGTTGTTTTGTACGGTCTGTTGCTTACAAGATACTTTTAACTTTTAAACCAGTAAATGAGCTCGGAAATATGGTTGGAGTTGCTTAAATATTTTAAAGCATGTTTGGTTTATTTACTCTCTGCCATGTTGTTCTTAAACCGAAATACTCCCTATGAAAATAGGTAATACTTCCTCAAGTCTCATTGAATAAATTTTATCTTTGGCCCCAGGACCTGTTATGACCAAATTTACTATAGCGTTGAGAGAAATCAGTGCATACAAGGAACTGCTCCGGTCACAAGTAATGATTTATTTAATGCTGTTATTGTCCTTCTTGTTCTTTAGCAGTGTATTGTACTGTAAAGGGTAGGTTTTTTATATTTTCACTGGAAACAGTGCTCCAAGAACTGCTATTCGGAAATATTATTCCAGAAGAGGACGTGTAATGGCATTTATGCCTTGCAGTATTTAATTTAATAATGTTAAATGAAGATAGTTTTAACCATAAAAACATAAAATAGAACCATAACATGAAAAGAGAGGAGAGGTAAGCGAAAACAAATCTATTTTCGTATTTGTTGGTGCATTTCACTTACACAGACACCATATTGAAGGACAAATACATCAGAAATGACAACCTATCATTATACCCATATTTGTTGTCAACAAAATATATTGTACCCACTATATATAGAGTACTCCAAAATTAAGATAAATTCATGATTGGTTAATACTACTAATACAAGTAAACTGACTAAAATAAGTAAACATAATAACAAAAATAAAAAGAAAAGTTTTACCACCCGTTCATTTAACAAATAACAGTGCGAGTGGGCAATTATACTTTGTAGGATGCCAATTAATGCATATGACATGTACAACTGTCTTTTCAAATTAAATTAATCGTGGCATCGTGAAGGGCATTAGGGCATTAACATTAGGCCCAAACCCATATTCTAAACAGTAGTCTTCCAACCGGACTTAGGGTTTATTAAGACTGAATCAATAAATTTTTGCTGAAAATTTTCTATTCTTTCATCCATAAGCCAACAAAAGATTGGCGATCTCATCCGTAGCAAATAGATCAAATTTGCTTCTAGTAAGAGAAATGATTGTTTCATATTCACAAATGTAGGCATCTAAGAATTGCATCAAGATGATTTTGATAGGATACCAAGTCGCTAATGGAAACAAGCAATTGAATTAAGGCCTTAAAATGAAGAAGATATTCAATAACGATCGTACCTCATTTCTTTGCATTATAGTTCAACACGTAATTGACGTGCCTCTTCTCTTGGATATGAGCATCGAAGAAGTTTTGCAATTTGTCCCAAAGTTCCCAAGAGTGGTCACAACATAGGGTTTTGGTTAGAAACACAAATAACCTAAATTGAAGCCATGAAAGAAAAAGAGGTGCTTTGTTCTTCCTAGGTCATATAAGTTGGAATTCATTTCTAGCATCACGATCAAATTCCAATAGAAATTAGAGCAAAATGAAGGATTAACTACTAATTGATGCAACTAGTGGCCTTTCATAGCATGTTTGAACTAAGTTTGAGCTATTGCTGATTGCTTATTGTTTTTCTAGCATAGGGATGCTTTTTATAATAATTTCAACCATCTTGATGGTAAACATGTGCTTATTAGCTGTACTTAGTCCTCATTGAAGAATAACAAATTTATGGTACTTAGTTCTCAAGCGCATTTACAAACCATAGGCAAAAATGGGTACATAGTTGATAACACCTATCACGTACCCCAAATACTATGGTAATTTTGTTCACAACTTGTAATAAAGTTTGTTCCCGTGACCTAGGAAACTTGTGCCTTCTATTGTAAATAATTTATCACCTGGTCATGGTTATATTTTACCTCCTATTAAATTAAAGGCATTACTCTAATTAATATTGCTATCCTGACTAACTTCATATTTTCTCTTAGGTAGAGCACATTTTCAATGATAGGTTACAACCCATTGTGAATGTTGACATCCATGAAGTCAAGGTATAGTGCTAGTAAGTTTTAAGCTTAACTAAGATTCTAGTCTATTTACTTTTACATTTTTTGTCCATTTTCAGTCCCTGTAACATTTTTTTCTTTCAATTTTAGTCTCTAACTTTTCTAAATGTTTCATTTTTTGTTCTTACTATGTCCATTACGAAACGTGGTGACGTCGTTATGTATCACTAGTAAAAAATAACATAATTATGTCTCACATCAACAACAATTCATACCATCATGTCATGATATCAAATGGACTATAAAACATGGTAAATGAAGATAGCTTTAACCATAAAAACATAAAACAGAATCATAACATGAAAAGAGAGGAGAGGTAAGGGAAAACAGATATATTCTCGTATTTGTTGTTTACTAAACCATATTTTAGGAAAAATACATGAGAAATGATCGACCGTCATTATACCCATACTTGCTGTCAACAAAATATCTTGTACCCACTACATTTAGAGTAATACTACTAACACAAGCAAACTGACTGGAATCAGTAAACATAATAACAACAATAGAAGGAAAATTTTACAACTCATTCATTTAACACTCCTCCTTAAAACTTTTCTTGAGGACTCTCATCTTACTTCTTAGTTCATTAAACAAAGTACATGGAAGTGCTTTGGTTAAAATGTCAGTAATTTTCAGACTTGTAATGCAGTAATTAAACATATCTCCATTCTTCTCAGCTTCTCTTATAGAATGAAATTTAACAATATACTCTGCTTAAATTGAGGATTGAGCAACTACATATTACTTCTTAGAGTTCCGTGAGAACACCCTATTGCCAAGTGAAAAAACATGTGTAGTTGTGCTCTTCGAATCATCAATACAACCAACCCAATCATTATCAACATAACCTTCAAGCCTTCCTTCCCCTTTGCAATACCAAATACCAAAATCAATTGCACCTTTCAAATATCTCAACACTCTTTTGCCTACGCCTAAGTCTGTCAAACTTGGTGAATGAATGAACCTTGAAAGAAAACTAGTAGAGAACATCAAATCTGGTCTAGTTGTAGTCAAGTAAAGAAGGCAACCAATCCGGTTTTTAAATTGAGTTACATCAGGCTTTCCATCACCATCATTCTTGGACAATTTCTCATTTACAACAAGAGGAGTTGAAACAAAATTACAACTTTTCAATTTGAATTTTTACTACAAGTCATTTGCGTATTTTCTTTGTGAAAGAAATATTCTATCATCAAGTTGATGTATTTCCATTCCTAAAAAATACCTCATCATTCTAAGATTAGTCATTTCAAAAACTTGCAACATGGTCTTTTTAAACTTGTCAATATCATCAACATAAAGTGACACAATAATTTTCTTCTTAGTGCCAGAATCTTTCACATAAAGAGTTGGCTCATTTTGACTCCTACTAAAACCATTTTGCAAAAAATGAGAGTAAATTTTGTTGTACCAAGTTCTTAGAGCTTGTTTTAACCCATATAAGGCTTTGTGAAGCTTATAAACTTTATCTCCATGACCAGTAACAATGAAATTGACTGGCTGCTCAACATAAATTTGTTCTTCCAAAACACCATTTAAGAATGCTGATTTCACATCCAAGTGAAAGATTTTCCTCTCATATTGAGCTGATAAAGCAACAATTAATTTAATTGTTTCATGCTTAGCAATAGGCACAAATGTATCATCATAATCAACTCCAACCATTTGAATATATCCTTTTACAACAATTCTAACTTTATGTTTTTGAACAGAACTTTCAGGATGTAATTTTGTTCTTTAAACCCATTTTACACTAATCACATGTTTGTTATTAGGCCTTGAAATGAGTTCCCAAGTACTGTTTTTATTAATCATAGCCAACTCTTCTTTCATTACATCATTCCATTTGTTTGCATTGAAGCTTCTTCAAAACAATAAGGTTCATTGATTACAAAGCTACATTTTTTATAAATTTTAGCCAAAGACTTGGTTTTGAACATTGGAGAATCCGATTCAGCAATATGACTTACATTTTTCCTTGTAGTCTGTTGTTGTTTAGTCTTCATACTTCTTTGAATTTGATTATTTTTCCAATCCCAATATGCATTCTCATCAAATTCAACATTTGTGTTGATCACAACCTATTTTTGACTTGAGATTGTACCCTCTATAACCTTTGGAGCCTGCAACATAGTCTAGGAAGATTCCAATTTCAGCTTTGTCATCCAATTTGGATAGTTGCTGCAACATGAACATAGGAATTCATTTCCATTCAAACTTCAACTGGTGTTTTCTTTTGAACAATTTTTGTGGGTAGCCTATTTAAGAGATATATAGTAAAATATGATGTTTTTTCTCTCAGAAACTCGATTTTGTTCATAAGTATAACTTACTGTTAATTGAATTCACTAGAAGTATACTCCTTCCCAATATCCTCTCTCAACATTTTAATTTTCAACCACTTTGAGACTCCACCATAGCAAAAAACTTTTTAAAGACATTAAAAGTTTGAGTTTTGCTTTCCAAAAAATACACCCATGTCATTCTAGTAAAGTCATCAATGAACAAAATGAAATATTTGATTTCACTTAGAAAAGGCATACTCATAGGGCCTCACAAATTAGTATAAACAAGCTCATGTTTGTTCTTTTCTTGTGTGACATTTGTTGTAGAAAAAGACTTCCTATGCATCTTCCCATGTTCACAAGCATCACATAAATCATCAATATTGCCTATCATAGGCATATCTCTCACCATGTCATGAGTTTGCAAAAATTTCAATGCAGCCATATTAAAATGACCATATCTACTATGCCATAATGCAGAATCATCATCTGTGGAAACAAGTGTTGATTGGTTGACTTCATTCAAACTAATTGGAAAGCTATTATCACACATTTCAACCTAAACAACTTCAAAATCAGTTACATCCTTAATCCTCATACAGAATCTTTGCTCTTGAGCTTGAAATTTGCTAACTATCTCAGAAATATTTAATTTCTTGAGATCACATGATTCTTCCATAACAATAGCTTTTGGTTTCAAATTTTTTGAGTAGGCTAATCAACATTTTTTCTACAACCTTGCTGTCTTCTACAACCTCACCATATAATCTCATTTGATTCACCAAATTGAACAACTTTTAAGTGTACTCCTTGACAGACTCCTTGTCCTTCATTTTTAGCATTTCAAACTCTCTTTTAAGTGTCAAGAGCTTGATTGACCTTGCTGTTTCATCACCTGTATATCTTTTATTCAGTTCATCCCATATTTGCTTGGTGGTTTCCAAATGAAGATAGCTTTAACCATAAAAACATAAAACAAAACCATAACATGAAAAGAGAGGAGAGGTAAGGGAAAACAAGGTTATTTTCGTATTTGTTGTTGTACCATACTGTATATCACTTATTGAGCCATATTTAAGGACAAATATATGAGAAATGATAGCCCATCATTATATCCATTCTTCTTGTTAATAAAATATCTTGTATCCAATACATTTAGAGTACAAATCTGTCCAAAATTAATGAAAATCCATGACTGACTAATACTACTGACTCAAGCCAATTCACTGAAATAAGCAAACATAATAACAGTAAAAGGAAAAGTTTTACAGCCCATTCATTTAACAAAACAAAAAACAAAAATATCATTGATCACGATAGAGCTGACCTTGAGAAGAGTATTTTGTCTCATACAACTTTAAACATTTTTATTCTCTATTAGGTGACAACTTGTAATGGAAGAAAAGAACCAAACTACTGTATTCTTTACCCAAATTCAATTGCTACGGATAGTGTTTTAACATCATATATGAAGAAAACAAATACTACTTTAGTTCCTATGCTCATTGGGAAAATAACAGTTCTCTGTTCATTTAAATGTAAATGGTTTAAAAGACTACATTTTGTTTTGCTTCTAACTGCAATTTTATTTTGGTAAGGGAACAACGGAGTTGAAATTATAACGACTATAAAAAGTGTGATTAAATAATTTCAGAAGAAAAATGTCAATCAAAACTATCATTGTGAAATTATCAATGTTCAATTTTAAAAATGACCACTCTTTGACCTGAGGTTTGCTTTCCACATTTTATAATACATTCATATTTTGCTGCCTCCATATGACTAGTATAGTTTTTATTTATTTTTATAATTCTAATGCTTCAAGCGTTGCTTGCAGGAAGCTCGCAAGCGTTTCGATAAATCCTCCCTTGTATATGATCAGGTGCCTCTCATTTCATACTAAGGTTACAGTGTGGTGAACTCCGCATTCATAGACTATGGGTCTCTTAAAATTAGTTTTAGTCCTCCCTTGTATATGATCAGGTGCCTCTCATTTCATACTAAGGTTACAGTGTGGTGAACTCCCCATTCATAGACTATGGGTCTCTTAAAATTAGTTTTAGTCCCTACATTTTAAAAATGGTGTTTTTGGTACTTGTACTTTCTAAAATGTGGAGGATTTTAGTCGTGGCTAGGTTGAAGTGAAGGATAGGATTGTGGATGAAATACATTCCTTAATATGGTATCAAAGTTATAGTTTTTCAACATAAAACCAATTGACAATATGTGGAGTAGTCTAATAAGTATTTAGACCATATCACATGACATGAGTTAGGCAGTGTGGGACTTCAAACATGTCCTCTCCTATGAAGCTTGCTAGATGAGGCAAATGGTACTGATATCATGTTAAGATTCCAACATAAAATCAATTGTTTAATATGGAGTAGCCTAACAGGTATTTAAATCATATCACATGACATGAGATAAGCGATATGAGACTTTGAATATCCACTTTATCACAAGAAATCAAAGACTGAAACCACTGATTTTAAAATGGAAGGAGTCAAACCAGTTTTGACAATTTTTGAGGGGTCTAAAATACATTTTACCTTAGATTTTGTTTCTGCTACATGTTTAGCTCTGTGAGTATACAATATACTAAATGCGAAGCATAATTGCTTCCCTTTTTAATTGATCCAGGAGTATGATAATCAATATAATTTATTTTTCTCAATTTACTGAATATTGGTATTATCTAGATGCTTCCTAGTCAATGACCATCATGGATTTATTCTTTAAATTCTTCAGTTCACTTGTTGAATTTGTGTTGATGCATAAAGATTTGATTATTGAGAGAGTAAGAGTTCTTATTTTAATGGATATAATTTATTGAGATAATGGAAATTGACCTTGCAGTTTCGTGTTAGAAATTTTCAAAGTTTTCTTAGGTCAAATAGCCATTATGTCAAGTTTGATCTTTTAGTTATTTTCATTTCATAGAACCTTGAAGTACTTACATTTTATTGCATAATCAATTGACACAGTTCCTAGAGATACATTCCTCGGGAAGTACTTGTATTTTAACTGGTGAATTAGATCTCAAAAGTTCAAATAGATTTTGTAGTACTTCTGATGGAGTATGATGGATGAACTTGTGTGTACGTATGTATTGATCATAACATGCAAGCAATGTGGATTTTGTGTTACAGGCACGTGAAAAATTTATGTCACTGAGAAAAAGTACTAAGATTGACATTGCCACTGTCATTGAAGAGGTATGTTGAATGTTTGATTTGGAAATTAATCAAATAACTAATTGGGAGTTACTATGATCCTTTTGAATCTAATTTGGTATAGATACATTCCAGGAACTGCAGGAGGCAAGAACATCATTTGAGGAAGCCCGTTTCAATTTGGTAATTTAAGCAGCACAAGAGATGTTACGTAGAAAATGAAAGAGATATTGGTAGGTATTAACCACATGAAATATTGAATCATCTAGGTTGGCACTCTTAATAACATTGAGGTCAAGAGGAGATTCGAGTTTTTAGAGGCTGTAACTGGAATTATGGATGCTCATTTTCGATACTTTCAACAGGTGTATGGCATAGTCACACATATGGAACTTTCTCCACACGTAATAATATTGCACTTATGCTGAATCTAGATAGTTTTTTCTTGCAGGGGTATCAGCTATTGAATGAGATGGAACCTTTCATTAATGAGGTTTGGCTCTCGGTTCCATATTTGTAATTTGAACTTGATTGCTGATACTAATATTCTTTTCTAGATAAATAGATGGTATTAGTTCCTTGTTTTTATTTTAACTTTGCTTCTGATAGTACATGCAATTCTTTTCCACAGATAAATAGTGCCATTTTGTTTTAATTTTTTTAAAACTAAAAGCCAATGGGAGCAAGTATCCGAAACACAGCTGATGTACCGACCATTAGAATATTAGGTTAGCATAGCCAATGTGAAACCCACCAGTTAACCAGAGTGACACACTTGCTTTCAAGTATAGAACAAAACTTTTAATTTGAATTGATTTGTGTTCCTCATCTTTTGACTGAATGTTAGGCATTGCTAATTGTCATGATTTTCTTCAATTTAGTGGCTTCAATTATTCTTCTAGAAATAATTTTCAATGAATTAAAGATGAGTTGTTTCAATTTAGTGGCTAAAATAAGAAACTGTAAGATCTAATACTCCTTCCTGTGAGGGAATTTTTCGCTGGAAGGGTTGGGCATTGCTAACTGTCATTGAAAAAATTTAACCTTTCCTTAACTTTATGCTTAAGAGGGATGGTTAAAATGCCAAAACATTTTATTTATTATGTTGCAGATTATGGATTATGTACATCAGTCAAGAGAAAATTACAATAACGAGCAGATTGAACTTTATCAAAGAATGCAAGACTACAAGAAACAAGTTTATGAAGAAAGTAGGTTGTCCTTGAGTGGTCCTTATGGTTCTCCTAGTGGAGACTCCGCACATCCGTTTTCTAGGATATCAAATGAAGTGGCGGATGTAGTAATGGAATCTGCTGCGAATGGAAAGGTATTTCAGAATATAACATTTCCTTTTTGAGATTATGTATTACTTCATTTTACAACTTCTCAATCTGTCTTGTTACCAGCCAAAAGAAATATTTTGAGTCCAAGTCCTGTCTATTTTCATTCGTTCATCCCTTTTCACATTTATAGGTTCAAATCATTCGACAAGGACATCTTTCAAAACGATCCTCCAATTTGAGAGCTGACTGGAAAAGAAGGTATTTTGTTCTTGACAGTCGAGGAATGTTGTTCTACTACCGCAAACCATGGAGTGTGTCATATGTAAGTCACCAACTAGAACTCGACTTCAAATACAATACCTAGGTAATGCTCAGTCTTCTAAAGAAATGCTGAGCATCCCGTTTCAGGGCAGCAATCAACCATCTCCAAAGAAGATTAGTGGCACTGAAAACGGTTCTGGGATTCTGAGTCGATGGCTTTCTTCTCATTACCATGGAGGTGTCCATGATGAAAGATCTATAGCACGTCATACGGTAAACCTGCTGACATCAACAATCAAGGTTGATGCTGATCAGTCAGATTTAAGATTCTGCTTCAGGATTATTTCACCATCAAAGAACTACACGTTGCAGGTACTAATTCCAAAACTTCATCAGTTACAGTTTGGGCATTCATTACAGTTATAATGCTCTACTAAGGGAAGCAGTGCAGGCAGAAAATGCGGTGGACCAGATGGATTGGATGGAAAAGATAAATGGAGTAATTGCCACCTTGTTGAGTGTCCAAACACTGGGAACGGTACATAATGGATATTTTCTTTTAAATGCATCTTTTGATGCCCATTTCAATTTTGATTACTATTGTAAAACAATTATGTGACAGCCTCTCTCAGCTGACTCAGAAAACGGAGACTCTGATGACAATATTGATAACTTGGAAAGTTGTCCAGATGATGATAACACTTTGACAGTGAAGTCTGCATTCAATAGTTCCACCCATAATAACCACTCACGTTCGACTAGAAGTATGCAGTTACATAAGCACAATATGAGAATTGAAAAGCCAATTGATGTTCTTAGAAGTGTGAACGGAAATGATAAATGTGCTGATTGTGGTAAACCCGAACCAGACTGGGCATCCTTAAACCTTGGCATCCTTATATGCATTGAGTGTTCTGGTGTTCATCGTAATCTTGGTGTACATATATCAAAAGTAAGTATTTGAGGGCGCAGATTTAATCTTACAATTTTATGTTGTGTAAGGTTCATGTCTTGTCAAAATTTACTGAACAGGGTTAGAAGACCTGCTAGCTCAAAGCCTTCACTTCTAGCTAACAACGGCTACTCTTAAAAATATAAATTATTTAACTTATGTATTTAAATTTCTATTGTCTACATATATATGGAGAATGATAGTGGTAGTTAGTCAAGTTATTCTAGGAGAAAATACGTGCATGTACCAATAGCAGAACATTGCTTTAGGATTTCCATCTAACAAGTCCAAACACTGCAAAATGTGAAGAGAAATTGACTTTAGTAAGCCAATCTAAACTAAGTATGCAGCATTTATATATATATATATATATATATATATATATATATATATATATGTAGTCTGATTAGAGAAACTTCTCCATAAAGTCTTTTAAAAGAGAAAAATAAGGACAAATAATGAAATGAAAATCCATGGGCTAAAATTAACTTATGTACGATTTAAACAATTAAAATTTAGAGAAGTTATGCATAAACTAATTTTAGTTTATGGAGAAGTTCATTTCATTTTTTCTTGGTTTTTTCTTCTGCTAGTCTTTATGGAGAAATTTGTCCAAACAAATCCTATATGTGAAAATCAACTTCCAAGAGCAAGTATTTGACAATTACTCCCGTTAATAATTTATATGATAAAAAATTTATAAATTCAACTGTTGAATCATGTGATATCTTCTCGATGGTTATGTATATCAAAATTTAGAAAAATTGATCATTCATAGTTATGCCAAAAGAAAGTTAATTGATGAAAGATCAGTCATTTTTAAATTATATGAAATATTGTATACTTGATCTACAAATATAATCTCTCAAACCATATGTTGATTTAAAGGAATCCGATGTTATAAATTTATAAACTAATTAATCGTACAGCTAATACAGGCTTTGGATAATTATCAATTTACAATTATTCTATAAATGTTTCTAATGTTTAGTTTTAGGTTATATGTAAAAGGGAAAACAAAATCCTGTTGTTTTATGTCTCACTTTTGCAGCTAATATGAGAAACATTTTTGGCAGGTAAGATCGCTGACACTCGATGTTAAAGTTTGGGATTCCTCTGTCTTAAGTATGCTTAAATCACTAGGCAATCTTTTTGCAAACTCAGTTTGGGAGGAGTTGCTACATTCACAAAGTAATTTGCAAACAGTTGATGCACCTGATAGGTAAGAACTGAAAAAGTTCATGGGACTATCTGTTAACTTGTGCTAACAGGCACTTGCAATGTAGTTCATCCAAGGAAAATGAAGAGGAGCTCTTCCATGCAAGAAAACCAAAACATGACGATTCTATTTTATTAAAGGAAAGGTTCATTCATGCAAAGGTATTCCATGAAAATTTCTAGTTTTTTTTTTTTTTTTATTTGCTGCTTTTGGAAAGATGGGTAGAGCTTGAACCCTCAACTTTGTGATGTAAAGCTATATTTTTCAACTTCAATAAACATTCTGTTTTAGTACCTAAAAAGTTTCAAAGGCCTGAAATCTCTTTAGAAAAGACTAAGCGACCTAGAAACATACCCTGTATCTGTTTCTAAGGTATTGTTTTATTGGAAGTTGAAAGTTGGGCATCCAATATGGTGAACTGTGCAGCATATTTGATTTGCTGGTATCCAATTCGTGACCATTATGACATGATAATATCTTGGTAGAGTTATTAGTTCATCTAGTGAATGAATCATTGTGTGATTGTCAGAGATGCAATGAAATCATTTATGAACCTTCAACTCAAGCTTTTGGAACTTGGAAGAAGTTCTTGACATGGTATCAATGTCTCAATAACCAAGTGGTCAGATTTGGCTTCTTAGCTCCCCCATTCTCCTAATTGAAGTTGAAATTAGAACATGTCAGAAGAGTTTTTTTTATTCTGTTTTACTCTGATTCATTTACAGAGTATAAATAGATAAAAGGAGAAGGAATTTTAGGCTCTATAGCCCTACACATGGCTAAAAATGAGGTTGACCCTTGAACCAAGGAATTTGACAGCTGATCTTTGAAGTTAATGTTCCTATTTTCTACCGATTTTAATGGCTCGTTAACATTCCCCCTCAAGTATGTACATAAATGTCTTCAATGCCCAATTGTCAATCATCATAGAAGTTCTTTCAAGAAACTGCCTCTGTAAGAATATCTCTGTCAACTAGTCCTCCAACTCGATAAAAGGAAATCAAATAATCTTCTCCTTGATACTTTGCTTGATGAAATGTTTATCTACCTAACACATGCTTTGTCCAATCATATTGAACAAGGTTGTGGATGTCAACTGCAGCTTTACTGTCGTATACCAGGTTCATACCCATGTTGGAACCAAAGCCCATCTCCATTTGTAACCTTCTAAGCGATAATAGTTCACACACTCCTTTTTGCCACGCCCATAAATTTAGCTTTAGCACTAGATAAAGGCACTACAATATGTGAAGCCCAAGAGGAGTAGTTCTTAGCATCCAACAACTTGGAAGAGAACGGTGCAGTAATGTGAACAGTAACTTTGGTTTGAACAGAGATGTTGACACGAATAGGGGGAGGTGAGAGATCAGCCTTAGAAAGAGGAAAAATAGTCAACTGGTGTGAAAAGCAACAAAACAATGTCTCTGACATGAACAATAACTCGGGCCTGAACAGTGATTTCGATAAAAAAAATAAAAACGGAAAAACATACACGATTTTAAAAAGTTTACACCTATGACCAGTGGACCCACAGAAAAAGTACGGATTAAGGTGCCTTCTTGTTAGTCTCTTGATGGCATGTTGAGAAAAAAGAAATCGAGGACACGTAATGAATTTCTAGTATTTAGACCACAACTACAGGGAAGAAAACATAGTTACAGAATATTCCGTTTTCCTGTTTTAGGCTAATAACATCGTTGAAAATCTCAAACTAAAATACGAATGTCACCTTATAAATCGGTCGGTTGGTAAGATTAAATTAAGTTCAAAATAAATGATATTAAAATTTACTTTCTATTGCGTGTCACTCGCTATCAGACCGCTATCCAACTACCCGCAAATATCTCGAGATTTCTTGTCCTAGGCATGATATCATATCCATAGGATTCTAACGTATCTAAAGGATTCTAACATCTCAACGCATTTATAGCACTTTTGGTGTAGTTCATATCTCAAACAAATACACTTACCAACACATGAATCCAGTTTGGTTCATTGATATTTGTGGAGATGAACGAAAACCACACACTCGAAAGTTCGAGGTTGAAGCATCAACACATGTATATATACATGAGATGAGAGTACTTGCAGAGGGATTTTAAAAGGCAAGACCTTGGAGGGCATGCAATTCAGGAGGTATATAGCTGTGGTTGCAGCATTCCACTGGTGAGTTGGAACATGGGTGCCTTGAAGCAGAGCACATGTTGTTTCCATGATATTTTTTCGCTCGTCAACGTCGTTTTGTTGTGGGGTTTGAGAGCATGAGATATCGTGAACGAGACCATGCTATTGAAAGGATGCTTTGAAACAATGGTTAAGTAGGGTCATAAATCAAAATTGTTATGACTTGAATCCTTGCTAAGAATTGTTCTTGAATCATAAACAGTAGTTCTAGGGGATGGTCCCCACACACATCAGAATGTATTGAAGCAAAAGGAACAGTGCTTTTATTCAAACTCGTCTAACAGGAAGTTCTATTGCTGTTGCCAAAATACAAGTGTCACATGTAAACTCGTCATTTTGTAAATGTAAAATTCAATCTAGAATTAAGTGTCTTTGACTAGAATAATTGAATGACGGATGCCCTAAACAATTAATGTCATAACCATTCTTGTTCTTTTCTACGGAGTTGATGGTGCACTTGATGTGTTGCTCTTTTGCTAAAATTATCAAGGTACTATAACCTCCCTCTCTTGGTACCTCGCCCAATAATCTTGTGGCTAAGAACATCCAAAAGATGACAAAAAGAATAGTGCATCAATCCACACAATTGACTTCTAGAGTTATTTGACTCACAAGACATTAATTTATTAACGTAGGAACTATGACGGTGTGAAATAAAGAGAGTGAGGGAGACAAAGGCCCAGTTCAAGCAGTGACTAGGTATGTAAAACTCTATTTGAATTAACAATGCAAGTCCTAAGTGGTGTAATTGAATGGGAGAAATCCATGGGACCAAAGATCTTATGGTCCGTTGCCGCAAAGTTGATAATCCACGCACTTGCACCGTGAGAATTAGAACTACAGAAACTCGACCAGGGTTACCTAATTTCATTGAGGTGGAGAAACCCGTCATGGGGGAATAAGCGAGATTTAAGACTCGGCAGTGACTACAGCAGCTTTACCAATGCCTTCCTCAAGTGCTGTGGTATCTTTTTTCTTCCTTGCTTGCAACTGATGCCACCACTTTGATACCCCGCAACTTGAAACAAATATCACGAGTGTGTTTGGTATTTCCACATTGTATGTACTTTCCTCCATCAGACAAACCCTTCCACGAGAATGAGTTGTGTTTCCCAGTCACCAAGGTCCATTGGTCAATTTTTGAGCCTTTAGTGTGGTCATAACAGCACCAATAGTTATGCACCATGCCCAGATGCCATCACAACCTGACAAGTATCCTCCCTTCAAACGTGTGCATAAGCCTGCTCGACCGTGGGAAGTGGCTTCAGTTGGAGTATGTCACTCCGAAGTCATCAAGTCGGTCATCCAATCCATCCAGAAAAATAAGAACCCTTTCCTCCTGAAGTAAAAAATTGCATTTCAGGATATCTTTTGTGCACTTCATGGGGTTAGGGTGCCAGAGGTCTATCTCACCCCACAGCCCTAGATCATTGTAATATTTTCCAATCGATACTTCTTTTTGCTACATTCATGTTACCTTATGTCGAAGGTCATAAACATTTGAATTATCAAAACCACCAAAATATGTGGGTAACAATGGCTTCCCAACCTCTTTGGCACCAGTGAGAACTTCATTGAGTTGATCAACCATCTGCCACTCTGACATTCTCAATCCGCCATTTCCTAAGTCGAATCAGTTGTTAACTAAAGAGGGTATGTTCTGTCAATATATCCCCGTTTGTCCTTGCCTGAGATGTACATCACAGCCATCTGGGACCATAGAGCATGGTTTCTACAGCTTGATGTTGATTGGTACAATAAAGGAATCAGAGATCGGGATTGTGATTTTGCCTAGGCGGACGAAACCCTGCCATTGTGGTTGTAAGATTTTCCAAAATGGAAATAGCAAGTGTTTTGTGGCTCCATCATCTCTGTGGGATTACTCATACTCTGAACTGTTTGGTCGCAAGATCATGCTCTGATACCATGTCAGAACAGAGGTACTTTTATTCTGTTTTAATTTTGAGTCATTGAGAGTATAAATAGATGCAAGTAGGAGGAGCTTAGGCGCTATACTACCTATACAATAATGCAACGATACACAGCTTAAAAAAAGGTTGAAAGCTGATCCTATTTTCATGCTAACAGAGCATAGTAAAAATGGATTTATGCATTGGATGTGCTTTTAGTTCTTGGGGATCTTGTTTGAAGAGGTATTGATGATGTAAAATCATAAGTAACGACTCTTCTCGTAAATGCACAAGATTATACATTAATAGATAGAGCAAATGGCCACATTGCGTTCTAGTTCAGACTGCGGGTTTTGGTCAAGTACGAGTTTAGAGTTGCTTACTTATCTTTTGCCCAACAAAGTACAGCTTATTTAATAGAATGACCAGATAAGATTGATATAGCTTTACAACTCCATTTGCTAACTCTACTGCAAAAAGTCTCAACTGTCTTATGGCATGGTGTACTAATAGTAGTTGAAGAGGTAGCATATTTGGTAATGATTATTTTAGGGAAAAGAATAACTTAATTTTCAAAAGCTCTTACAAAGCTGATAAATAAGATAAATCTAACACACGCACAATAACAGATGATTCAAAGTAGACAATTTCTTCTAGTGCATTTTAGACATCTACCCATTTGTTCCTTTCTCTTTTTTGCATAATTCGAAAAAAGTGGTGGGTTTGGATAATGTTTCACTATTACTTCTGGAAGAATGAGTTTTATGTTTAGACAGATAATTGTTGGTTGGAAAATGATTTTAAAATTCCTTAAAATATCATATTACAAATGGATTTGGGGATAGTTGTTACATATGTACAACGAAATTGTTTTAAAATGTGTTTTTTATATAATAATTATAATAAATATTTAATGTCAATACAAATAATTCATTAAGTATTATCCAATACTCACTAAGAGAAACTCTGCGAATTTGATAATTTTAATTATATATATATATATATATATATATATATATATATTTAAATATTTTTTATAATTAAAATTATATATAACAATATATATTATTTAATAATTTACTTGACATAAAATCAATTATTTTTTAATGGTAACAATTAAAAATATAATATATTAATTATATTAAATATAAACATTTATCATAATTACTATTATAAGAAACATGTTTTATCCGAACTTTAATGATTAATTTTGAATGAAAATACTACATACACTTTCTAGCACTCTCCCCTGGCTGCTAAAATTTATTGAATACCACAAAATTGAAAAAATATCTATTAATTTTAACAACTTTTGGTGAAACTAATATAAGATAATTTCTATAAATTAGCTTATATATGATCTAATTTCTATAGATTTCCCTCATAGTTCTTTTTTTCTTTTTCTTTAAGTGTTTGTAAAAAAATTAATCAAACCAAAACCTACTATATTTAATAACTCAAGGACATTTAGGGTCAAGTTTTACCTAAACCCTTTGGGATCTACTTAGTCTTGGATCGGATCAAATCCCACTCAAGCCAATTTAACCAGTCTTTAGCCTACCATCCACCTCCATACAATGCCGAATAACGTTTGAATCCCCTGCTGCATTTGATAGCGGTATTGAGTATTTGATAACTATATTTCTTATTTAACCTTAGGTATACTCTTTCTCCCTTTACAAATAACTTTTAGCATTTAGTGGCAAGCTTATTCTTGAAATATGACTTGACGGAAGTTTAATATTGCAGTATTCTGAGAAAATATTTATTTCCCGGACGAAGAAAAGCCATCCTACCCTTTCACTAGCACAACAGGTTCTGGAAAGCATCTGTGCAAATGACAAGAAAGCAGTGTACGAGCATATTGTTAAGTCGGATGTTGGCGTCAATGCCATCAATTGGCAATCGTTGTCTGGTATGTCTTCTTGTTCCAGAAGTCTCAACTCCAGCAAACATTGAAAATCAGGAAGTAATGAGATGCTGTGCAGGAGACTCTCTCCGCGTGGCTTCTTCAAGTAACTTAAACATTGCATCTCAGGCTGAAAATCAGCTCATTGAGGACATACAAGATGGCTCTAGCGCGCTTCACCTGGCTTGCCTAACTAGTGATATTGGCATGGTGGAGCTTCTCCTACAGCTTGGCGCAGATATAAATGCTTCTGATTCTGGAGGCCGGACACCACTTCATTGTTGTATTATCAGAGGGAAGACTGCAGCTGCAAAATTGCTTATCTTGAGGTAATTAATTGGACCGTTCTCTTATATCCAAAGATTTTTAATCGTAATATTCTATAACCTAAATTCCCAGATAATTGACGAATCATGTACACATTTATTCTGCCGTCTGTCCTGTTATTTTTTAGGGGTTTAGATAGAGTGGAATCAAAGAATTAAATGTCAAATTATACGGATTAATAAACAAAAATGTGAAATTAGGCATAGTTTACATATTAAGCCATAATTTATCTATAAAATTATTTTATATGATTATTTGTAAATATTATGTCATTTAACCACATAAAATTTTAAAAACTAAACAGTTTTTATATCATAAAAAATTTAAAATATATATAATCTAATTATAAGCCAAATTAAACTTGAAATGAAATAAAAATATAAAAAGTACATAAATGTGTTTCAATCTGTCAATTTGAGTAAATTTACTTAGGATTTTTTTAAAATGATGTTTTAGTATAATTAAAAAAGAAACTAGTTTTAAATTCTTTGTCAAACTTGCCAAAATTTATATTTTAAAAGTAAAACAGTCAATATTATTAGAGTATAATAAAACTATGTAATGGGAAAATATATTTATTTTCCTTATTTTCCGATATTCTAAATTTTTATTTATTTATTATTAATTATAGGCGTATAGGAGTAGGCTTAATCTTGTGAGTAGAAAGGTGTAAAAATTGGTTAAATTTGATAAATATTTTATAGTTTAAATTGAATTAAACTTGTTTTGAATGGTGTAAGTCATAGAATATTTTGGCACGGATCAAATTACTCTTAAATTTATAAGTGATTTCGTTTTTTATAAAATAATAATTATTTTTTAATAAAAATAAAAATGATATTATATATATATATATATATATATATATATATATATATATATATATTATAAAAGATTCACTTGTTTTAAGATATTAAAGTCTCTAACAATTATTTATTTTAATATTTAATGATTAAGATTAATTATTATATTATATTAATAAATTACTAATAAATAATAAAGTTTATACCAAAATAATTAAAAATATTTGAATAAAAATTAAAAAATATATTTTTTAAATTAAAATTATATTAATAAAATTAATTTTTATTTAAGATATAATGATTTAATATATAAATTATAATATAATAAATTTATTTAATCCAAAATTAAAAATTAAAAAGTTATTTTTTATTATCATCAATTATAATAATTATATTATATTTAAGGAGGATAAAACAATTAATTTATAATACATATAGTTTTTTCATCAACTTTTTTATTAAAAAAAATATTATTTTATAATATGAGTCTGATTATAAAATTATGGTTTAGTACGCTAGATCAAGATCTATACAAATTAAACTAAAATTTACTTGATTGAATTTAGATGCAAATGTTTTAATATGCTATAAATTAAATTAAAATTTCCTTCATTGAATTTAGATATAAGATGTTTTAACATAGTACAAGTTAAACTAAAATTTACTTGATTGAATTTAGATTTTCTAGAAAATTAGATTAAATGAAATCTTATTTTCTTATTTTAATACAAAGAGATCAAACAATATATATACAAGAGACCTAAGCTATTCTAGGAAATATAATAACTTTATTTTATTCTAGGATCTCTTGATTTATGGGATTGTTCCTAATTATTCAAATTTGTATAGATTACAAATTTCCTAATTTATTCTTTCCTAAAATATTATTTGATTTCCCACATTCTCCCTCAAGCGGGTGAATAGGTGTTTTCCATTCCCAGCTTGGATACAATCTTCTCAAAATTGTGGCAGCTATTTGGTCTTGAGAGGACACATATGGAGTGCATATTAAGCCACTATCAAGCTTTTCTTTGATAAAGTGTCTCGTCTACTTCAATATGTTTTGTTCTATTATGTTGTATTGGGTTGTGGGTTATGTTGATTGCTGTCTTATTATCACAATAGAGCTTCATAGGTTCTTCCCATTTTATCCTCAAGTCTTCTAAGATGATTTTAAGTCATAGTAACTCACATATTCCTTGTGCCATGGCTCAGAATTCTGCTTTAGCACTGGACCGAGCCACTACACCCTACTTTTTGCTTCTCCAAGTCACAAGATTTCCTCCAAGAAAGGTGTAATATCGTGTAGTTCACCTCCTATCCATAATTGACCCTGCATAATTAGCATCAGTATAGGCTTCAAGCTTCATATTACCATTCCTTTTAAATAGAATCCCTCTTCCTGGAGGTACTGTAAAATTTTGTGGGTTGCTTGTAAATGGGTTTCCTTTGGATTATACATAAATTGGCTAATTAAACTCACTGCATAGGCAATATCTGGCCTGGTATGCGACAAATATATAAGTCTGCCCACTAATCGCTGGTACATATCTTTTTCAACAACAACATCTTCTTCTGCATTTCCAAGCTTTAGGTTTGGTTTTAATGGGGTACTAGCAGGTTTGCAAGTTGTCTTGCCAGTTTCCTTGAACAAATCAGTGATGTATTTTTGCTGGGATATAAATATCCCTTTCTTGGAGTGGGCAACTTCGATTCCTAAAAAATATTTTAGTTTTTCCAAGGTCTTGATCTCAAATTCCTTGCCTAAGCATTGACTCAACAATTGCTGCTCTTCTTTATTATCTCCAGTTAATATTATGTCATCCACATACACCAATAATATTGTTACTCCCCCTGACTTTGAATGTTTAAAGAACAAAGTATGATCCCCTTGGCTTTGTTTGTAACCCAGACCTGTCATAACTTTAGTAAACCTGCCAAACCATGCACAGGGGGACTGTTTTAGCCCATATAATGCCTTTTTCAACTTACAAACAGTGTTGGCAACAACATCTTTACCATATCCCAGAAGTATCTCCATATAAATTTCTTCTTCAAGGTCTCCATGTAGGAAAACATTCTTAATATCAAATTGTTCCAAGTTCCAACCATAATTGGCAGCAAGAGATAATATCACCCTAATTGTGTTCAATTTGGCAACCGGAGCAAAGGTCTCCAAATAATCAACTCCATAGGTTTGAGTGAACCCTTTGGCAACTAGTCTTGCCTTATATCTCTCAATTGATCCATCAGCCTTGTATTTCACTGTATAGACTCACTTACATCCAACTGACCTCTTTCCTATTGGTAAGGTGACTAACTCCCAAGTGTTGTTCTTCTCCAATGCCTTCATCTCTACATCCATGGCTTGCCTCCATTTTCTGTCAAACAATGCCTCAGATAGGGTATTAGGTAGAAGTATAGTGTTTAGGTTTACTAGGAAGGTTTTATGGGTAGGAGAGAAATTTTTAAAGGACAAGAAATTTGAGAGAGGGTAGAGTGGTTGTTTGGTGCATTTTCTTGTCCCTTTTCTAATGACAATTGGGAGGTCAGGATTATTTTGGGTTTCAATTTCAACCTGCACAGCTGGAGAAAAAATTGTTACCTCTTTTCATGGAGTCGAGTTGGATTCTTGAACATGGTTTGATCCTGGAATGGCCTTAGTCTTCCTTGAGTACACCAGGTTCTTACCAAATTTTCCAGCTTCAACATCTTCTTGATCAGCTTCACAATTAATTTCACTTTCTTGACCAATTCCTTTTCTTGACCAATTCCTTGACTTGTTTCATTTGTTACAACTTCAAGTTGATCTTCAATTTGATCTCGTTTAGGTTCAAATATCAAGTCTAGAAGAATGGGAAAGCCAGAATTACTACTTTCAATATGATTTCGTTTAGGTTCAAATGTCAAGTCTGGAAGAATGGGAAAACCAGAATTACTACTTTCCTTATCTTCCCTGAAATTCTCCCCTTGAAGATAAGGTTGATGGAAATAACACTCTTGTTCATTGGAGGTAACATCCCTAGACACAAAGAATTTTTTGGATGGGGGGTGGTAGCATTTATACCCTTTTTGAGTGGGTGAGTAACCAACAAAGACACACTTTAAGGCTCTAGGGTCAAGTTTCCCCCTGTGTGTACTATGAATATGGACATATGAGATGCACCCAAAAACTCTTGGTTTAAGATTATTTGTAGTAGACAAGTTTGGATAGAAAGACGATAAAACTTCCATAGGGCTTTTTGATCCTAAGACTCTAGAGGGTAGTTTATTGATAAGGTATGTTGCTGTAAGGACAGCTTCTCCCCAGAAATTTTTTGGGACACTTTCTTGGAACAACAATGCCCGAGTCTGATTTAATAGATGTCCATTTTTCCTCTCTGCGACCCCATTCTGTTGTGGTGTTTTGACACAAGAAGACTCATGAATTATATCTTCTTTTTGACAAAAAAAATTAAGGACATGATTGAAGTAATCTTTGACATTATCCGACCTAAGCCTTTTAATATTAACACCAAACTGATTTTTTATCATGGAGTTGAAGTTTAGGAAGACAGAACTGACTTCTGATTTTTGTTCAAGTAGGAAAACCCAAGTGACCCCTGTACTGTCATCTATAAAGGTGACAAACCATAGAGTACCAGACACATTTAGAATATTAGAAGGTCTTCATACATCAGTATGAACAAGATAAAAAAGAAAATTGCTAATTCTATTACTTATACGTTTGTGCTTAGCAAGTTCACACACTTCACAATGAAGACTCTCAACATCTAACTTGGTAAACAGAGAGGGAAACATAATTTTGATCGCTCCAAAAGAGGGATGTCCCAATCGACAATGATAAAACATGATTTTTTCTCTGTTGGTCATCAAGGATTCATATATGAAGGAGTGAGAGATTTTATTCTTGCTAAGCAGACTTAGATCTTCGAGATAATAAAGGTCATTCCATTATCTAGCATGTCCAATCATGCTCCCCGAATCCTTGTCCTGAAATACACAATGATCGTTGAAAAAAACAACTTTACATGACAATTCTTTTATAAGTTTTTGTATAGATACTAGGTTCGTGGACAACTTTGGGACATGGAGAATATCTTTTAAGGTTATTAAAGGATTGATTTAGATATTTTCTTGACCATCTGCAATTATAAGGGTTTCATCTGCTGTGACAATTTTCTTGTTACTGGGACATGGGGA